TCCCGCACAGAGGTCTTGTGGGGATGCACGTCACCAGCTGTGACCCAGCTCTGGTGGCAGCAGGTGCTGGGAGCAGCGGGTAGCCTGGTGACCCTGCCCAGCAGCTGAGGACCAGCCCGGTGGGGCCGGTGGTGAAGGGATGTGGGGTCCTTGGTCTGAGCGTCCGAGCGGCCCATCGTCCCCAGGCAGCCCCTCCCCTCACTGCCCCATTTGTCATCCATGGAATGGGCATGTGGGGTACCCGCTCCTGGGCTGCCCATGAACGGTCTTCATCCTTGGAGACATACAAAGAAGGGCTCCCCAAGGTCTGCCCTCCCACTGGTAACCCCAGGCACCTGGGTTTGGGTTTACTGGGGTAACCAGACACCGTCCTCCCAGGGGTCAGCTCGGGTCCCCTTCTTCTCAGTGGCCATGATGCCAGAGGTCCTGCTCTCTGGCCACAAAGCCCAGGGCGCTGATGACACACAGATGAAGCCCTTCTCCAGGTGCTCAAACAGGCTAGTACTGAATCAGAGGGACTGTCCCTTGGGGTAAGCTGCCCCTGCCAGCAGCCAGGACCAGGGGGAGGTATTTCCAGGAAGCTGCCTGAAGAGCTTCCGAGCTTGTCTCTCTTATTTTCCCCACGAGGCTTCACTGCACCTGAATAGGGTCCCTCACGTCTCCGCCCCAATGGAGGGGATCTGGGGTCCCCACCTCGGCTCCTGTGAAGCAGGTGCGGTGAATCTTACGTGGGCAAGGTCAGTGTGGAGGTGTCTGGGGGAGGGAGGCCCTGACCCAGCTGGTCAATCAGAGGGTCCGTCCCTTCACAGTCTGCACAGAACAGGCCAGATCACCTCCATGGCAAGCGGCCCAGAGCCCCTCAGCCATGAATAGAGTTTGCATTCTCCTCGGCCTCAGTGTGTTTTCAGACTCTGGGGGCTGATAACTTGGGCCTGTTGCGGCAGGACTGGGGGGGGTCATTCACCCCAGGGATCCCGCCCCACCGGTCATGCCTCCCCGTGTGCTGTGAACCTCCTTGCCCTTGCGGGCCTCACAGGGGACGGTACCAGGGGCACTCGCGGCAGCATCCTCGCCTCAGGTCTGAGAGGCCCCTCGGAGAGCAAGAGATGCCCAGGTGGTGGCCAGACCGGCACAGCCACTCTCTGCTGCTGGAGGAAGGGACGCTCAAGATGGGACTCGGGGCACAGAAATGCCAACCAGAAATTTGAAGGACTCTTCATTGTATGTATGTCTACACACACACACACACACACACACACACACACACACACTCCCTTGCAATAAGCTAACACTGGCCCCTACATGACATTAAAAGACATCTCAGCATCTCCCCGCCTCCCACACTCACCTGCAACCCCAGTTCCTTTGCTCAGCACTGAATGAAACTTGAGTCCTTGTACAAAACAGTGTGCCAAAGAGGGTGAGCAGAGACCTAGTGCAGGTGGTCTTTGGGGGAAGGGAGGGAGGGAGACGTCCGAACGTGGGAGGAGGAGACCGAGCACGTGGCAGAGGGTGAGTAAAGGGACAGACACGGGACAAAGACACTTCAAGATCGGCAGTTAAAGAGGAGGAGCCTGCAGCGGGCAAGTGGGAAGGAGGAGAGTACAAAAACATGGAGATTCCGCCGCATAAAAACGTTCAAGCTGTCAATTTAGACGCTGAACCGAAGTCGAGGCAAAAGTATTGCAGCATGTTCGCCAACAGGTGGCGCCAGTGACTGTGTTGCGTTCATGTAACCTTGGGTTGATGCAAAGAAGGCAGTCGCCCGTATGAACTTCTAAGGAGGGGGTGCAAACCCGTCAGCATGACGCCGTGGCAATCTCGGCTCTTCTTGGCAGAGCGTGACGTACTTCGAGCACCGGGCAGAGCCCTCGAGTGTGGGGAGGGCTTTCCGCACAACAGCTCTCGGCCCTCGTACTGTGGAGCACAGCGGCCGGGCGGCAGATTCCAGAGAGAATGTCACAAACTCGGGCGTCAGTGCTTTCAGTTCTGAAGGTGTCGAGCCCGTCGCAGATCTGGGAGCCCTGCAGGTGCGGAGTCTAACAGGCCACACATGCTGACACGGGGCTGGCACGCTGTGAGGACAAAGCCGTTGGGGAAGCCCCCGGGAACAAACTTCACCTCGTCACAGGATGCGGCGGAGCTGGTCGTGCGCCTAAAGAGGGCTTGAAGCAGCCGGCGTGCTCACCGATAAAATCCTGTAAGTGAAGGCCTGGGTAAGCAGAAGTTAAAAGTGGAAAACAGAGTATTTCACAACAATTCTTGGAGAGGCTAAAGGAGTGACTGCACCCATATAACAAACCCTGGGTCCCAGTCCCAAGGCTCTGAAAACCTCTGCAGCCCCACTCAGCTTCCAAAGTGGGACCCAAGAATCTCAAAAACAGCATCAGAATCGGGGGCCCAGAGCTCTTAGCTGCCATTGCATGCCCAGCATGAGCCCCACAATGCAGGACACAGCAGACAGGCCACGTCTCTGGAACTTCAAACCACTTAGGATCAGGATTCCTACGATACCCGCTGGAAGAGTAAATGCCCAAGTGGCGGCAGAGTGACCCACTCTGCTGGGCAGAAAAGGTTCTTTCCTAAATGGTGCACAGCCTCGTCAGGCCCTTTGACCTACTTGAAGGGTTTGGAGAACAATTAGCATGCTGCTTACCTCCAGACTACATGCCTTCCAGTAATAAGTTTCCTTTATTTTAAACAATTGTGTCAAATAACTCTACGTCCCCATTAAAAACTCAACGCAAAATGAGTGAACAGCAGATAAGAGGAGTCCCTGCCCGCCCATCTCCCAGCCCCAGCCTGACCTGCTTAAGGCAGCCTTCCCGTCCATTCCGCCGCGCACCTCAGTGGTGTTCCCATGAAAAATATACAACCTGAAATCTCATTGTAAAGATACAGGAAACACACCCACACTGAGCGAGCATTTGATAAAATAATTGGTCTGCATTCTTCAGAAATGTCAATGCCATGCAAGTCAAAGAAAGACCAAGGAATGTCCTAGACTGAAGGGGCAACAAATGCCAGCCTGGATCCTGTCCCAGAAAAGGAAATTGCCATAAAAGATGTTACTGAAGCAAGCCGGCAAAATGCGAACATGAATGATGGATTAGATTATGAAACTTGTTTTCAGGTTTAGCATTTTATAGTTCATATAGCATTGTATTAGCTAAAACGTATTCAGACTCTAATACTGTATTTAATTCAGTATTAGATATTGTATCTAATTGACACTGTATTGTATTAGATAAAAGATGATAGATAGATAGATAGATAGATAGATAGATAGATAGATAGATAGATAGATAGATAGATAATAGATAATTAGATGGGGAAAGAGGGCTGTGGCTTGGTAAATCAGCTGAAAACAGACCCACAAAATTATAAGCAAAACAAAATGCTTGTTTTAAGCCACCGTTTTGAGGTACCCGGAGCATCTTCTAAACCCAAACATGTAAACCTTTAGAGTTTTGCCTTTCACATTTATGTCTAATCCACCTGGAAGTGTTTTCCTGTAAAGTATGAAACTGAGGTCCAACTTCCTTTTTCCGCATATGGGTAAACATTTTTCCGAATAACTCACCAAAAAGTCTCCCCTTTCCCTGTGGCCAGCCTCGCCACCCGTGCGCCCATGTCTGGGTCCTGCTCTCTGCTCTGAGGTGTGGGTCTGTCCATCTCCCCAAGCCAATACTACGCAGGCCTAATCACTGCAGCCTTATCGAAGTGTCCGCATGGTGCAGAGAGAATGTCCACCTTGCGAGGGCGCTTGAGCTTCTCTGGATCAGTCTTACAACAGTGAGAATCAGCTTAGCAAGTTCACGTCATTTCTCTGCAGCCCAGCTTCTCATCTGCTGTAAAGAGTGAAAGTTAGTTAATATGGATATGATTAGTAGACCACAGAGAACAAGGAATTTTCAGTTCATTGGATTTATGTTACTGATAGATAGATAGATAGATAGATAGATAGATAGATAGATAGATAGATAGATAGATAATAGATAATTAGATGGGGAAAGAGGGCTGTGGCTTGGTAAATCAGCTGAAAACAGACCCACAAAATTATAAGCAAAACAAAATGCTTGTTTTAAGCCACCGTTTTGAGGTACCCGGAGCATCTTCTAAACCCAAACATGTAAACCTTTAGAGTTTTGCCTTTCACATTTATGTCTAATCCACCTGGAAGTGTTTTCCTGTAAAGTATGAAACTGAGGTCCAACTTCCTTTTTCCGCATATGGGTAAACATTTTTCCGAATAACTCACCAAAAAGTCTCCCCTTTCCCTGTGGCCAGCCTCGCCACCCGTGCGCCCATGTCTGGGTCCTGCTCTCTGCTCTGAGGTGTGGGTCTGTCCATCTCCCCAAGCCAATACTACGCAGGCCTAATCACTGCAGCCTTATCGAAGTGTCCGCATGGTGCAGAGAGAATGTCCACCTTGCGAGGGCGCTTGAGCTTCTCTGGATCAGTCTTACAACAGTGAGAATCAGCTTAGCAAGTTCACGTCATTTCTCTGCAGCCCAGCTTCTCATCTGCTGTAAAGAGTGAAAGTTAGTTAATATGGATATGATTAGTAGACCACAGAGAACAAGGAATTTTCAGTTCATTGGATTTATGTTACTAAACGAAAAGAAACAATATTGATTGCTTTAGCAACAGTATTGATTGCTAAATCCTCCTGAATTAATATTTCTCACACACTCACATGTGTTACTACTGGGCAGCTATGGTGTGATGCTGCCCCACATTAGGAATCTTTCCAAATCAGCCTTGCTAATATTGTCATTTTTTAAAAGTTGCCTTTTGGGCTTTTAATGCTACATATCAGCTAGCATTCAAAGCTGGGAATGATTCAGCGCTGCGTCAGTCTGTGGTCGGGTTCCAGTCTGACCGGCTGCAGGGTTTGAGGATTCGAGAAGGCCCGGGTGTGAACCACCCGCTTGTTTCCTCTTTATTAAACTGGCACTTGTGAGAGCCAGGCAGGAAATGTAGGCAAATACAGACTCTTTATCATAAAAATTTTCACACTTTATTTCTAATAGTTTTTGTCCTGTGTGAACGTAGCCCTGAATTCAGAGCTGTTACTATTTCAATAATATTATTAACAGTTTTTTTATTTTTACATACTGATTTTACAAAACCTAGAAAATATGGGGAAAAAAGACAAAAAGTATTCATTTACTCATGATCCAAAGATACATGCTGTCAATGTTTTAAAGAATTTTCATCTATTTCCTAGTCTTTATGAACAGGTTTCTTTCTTCTTTTTTTAATAAAACATGCACTACTTCACATCCTTCATGCGGTCGCCCTGTCGCTCAGCTGGTCGGCAGCCACTGCCCTGTGTTCTTCGTCAGAAGCCCAGTTGCATTTCCTTGAGAGTCTGAGAGGCTTGGAGAGGCGGGGCCGCAGCCCAGCCTGGCAGGTGATTTTCCACTGGTTTAAGCCAAACTAGGAATTCTGGCCCCAGCTTGGCCGGAAGTTGGTTTAGACTTCAGCATGTCCTGCAGTTCTGGCCAACTTTCATTCTGCTTTACATATTTGATTTTGCCCACTCACGTCTTCTTTTTTTGTCATTTATTTAGGGTTTTTTCACTCAGTAACATTTCACGAACATCTTTCCACATAAATATGTCTTATTTTATTTTATGAATGTGATGTATAACATTCATAAAAAATATGACTCATTTAATTTTATGAATGTGATGTATATACGTTGCATAGGTTACTAGCTCCCTCCCCCAAACCCAACCCTGGGTAATCTAAGGAAGGGAGATGAAAGCAGGAATCTCAGAGCCGGCCGGGGGGCAGAGACAGCCCCGAAGGAGCACGTCCCATAGCTCAGAGTCTGGTCCGCTGGGTCACAGAGACGGAAGGTATTTCTGGAGTTCTTCCCAACGGCCCCTCCTTCTTCATTCAGTCTCACCATCTCTGTTGTGCAGAGCAAATAAAGGAGGGGGGGCTCGCCCTCCTATTTCTCCATTACATACAGGTGACCCTGAATTCCCTCAACAGTGGGACTAGCATGAGATGAGACAAATGGGCCAGTGGAAGGGAGCCTGTTTCCTCACCCGGGGAGGTGGGGACATGGCCCGGCCGCAGGCTGAGTGCGCGGGTCTCCAGAGGAAGCCCAGCAAAGACCGGTTCCCCACCTCCCTTCTCTGCTCCGCCGTCTCCAGGAAGCCCTGAACTTCCCCCTCAACTAGATGTAAGCGCTCTCTGGATTCTGAGCCCTAAAAGGTGAGTTAGACATGGCAACCCTGCTGCGATGCGAGCTTACAAAGCTGCACGTGATGGTGCTGCATCCCAAAGGATGAAACGCTCCAGACATTCGCGATAGAAAAGGTCACGGAAGGGCGCCCTTGTCAGCGGATCAGCAGCAGCAGACATGTACGCGTGTGTAACACAGCAGACACACCACCCATGTTCATCTTAAATAATAAGTGGCAAAGGAAATACAAGACAGGAAACAGTCGTGAAATCCAAGTCACTAAAGTGCTTTCAAACATAAAGACCAAGGAGTCTCGTCTGACCTTAACACACTGTATATACATATTCAACAATTTTTTAAATACGGCCCCATGCTATTTCAGAAGGGAAGGGGAAAATATGGCTTTCCTTGTTGTTTACGAGTTCCAATATGCATAGCCTACCAAAGGACACTAGGGCAATACCAAATTATCGCCCACCAAAAATACTGAAATGTTCAAAGCCAGCTCCAGGTAACCACATTGTAATTCATTCCTATGTCTCTATGGGGTCTTCACTACTTATAAAGCCATCTGATTTTCTGGAGGTTAAATTACTTTAAATTTTCGAATTCAGAGTGAAGACATCAGACTTAACCTATTAATCCACATAGTGTCCCGAACCAAACATCAAATGATTTTGAGCAGTAAATATGCTTTAAGAACTCTGAATCCTTTTTCACCAAGTTCTATAGAAGAGAAGCAAAATGTTACATCAAATTAACTGGTTCAAGCACCTTTAAGGAGTGGTTTCCATTCTAGAATGAAACAGATTTTCCTTAAACCACCCATTTGTCTCTTTAAAGCAACTGTCATTGCATTTATCCTGACACTGTAGGAAGGAAATACCCAACCGAGAGCATCTGTCTTAGACAGTTTTGTCTTCTGAAAAATGCCAAATGAGAAGTGAGGAATGCGCACATTTTCAGCCCTCGAGGGTGGGACGTCCCAGGGCCCCCACCTTCCCAGGCTGCAGCGCCTCTGGGTCCCGGGGGCCTGAGCGCCCTCCCGCAGGGGCGCCCTGGCCCGGGGTCTTGGTCTCCTGCCGCGAGGCGCTGGAGAGATCGATGGCCGAGTCCTCCGAGCCCTTCTCAGGGCGGGCTTCACCTGAGTCTCTCTGGGATCCCACCTCGCTCAGGCTAGAACCTTCCTTTGTGCGGGCGGAGCCCCAGAGTCCTGCCAGTGTTTGTTCGTTCCCTGGTTTGCTTATGATCCCTGTGGACTTTTTATGCATCCCTTGCAAAAAAAGGGGGAAAGAAAAAAAATTAAAAGGTACGTCTAAATTCAGCAATTAAGTAAATTTCCTCCTTGTCATTGTTCTCTAAATCCCACTGGAATCACCGCGTGGGCACCTGTCTCTGGGCCCCCAGGAGGGTCAGGTAGGCCACCTCCCCTTAGGGACTAAAAACTGGCGTCTCCAGTCGGGCACAGCAGCAGAGGCTCCTTCTTTGTATGAGACGGTGGTTTTAAAAATGTATTTGCTGCCACCATTTTTGAATCAGGGATCGCACGTGAAGAGCAGGCTGCCTGCTCCTCTGGGAGTCGGAATGTCCGGCAGCACTGGGTCCATTTTCCCGTGCGGTCACAGGCCTGTGGAGGCCAGCGGGCACGCTCCCCCGCTGCCCACACGAACGCAGAGGGACGGCCTCCTTCCCTCCCCGAATCCCCGCCCCGTCTCTTCGGTTCTTAAGGGCCCAGTCAAGACCACACCGACGACAGGTGTCTCCCGTCTGTGCGCTGCGTCTGTCGGGCGGGGGCTCAAAACTATTTGCTGAACGAAGCACCTCCACCTCCCCAGCCTAAAACGACGTCCCCAGCCCCGGGCCCTGGTCCCCCGCCCTGCTGTCCGGCTACACACTTTCCAGGCTCTGACCCTGTCCGCTGTCTCCGTAGCAGCAGAGAACACCCAGCCCCAGAGCCCGGGCCTTGCCAGCGTGGAGCCTCCCTCAGCATAACCAGGAGGGCCAGAGAAGCTACAGCAGGCTGATAATGGCAGAACCGGGACCAGGAAGGGGCTTGCTGGCTGCGGGGTGTCGGGGGCCAACGCTCCGCAGGCGCCGCTGCTCTGCCCCGGCCTCCGATTACCATGAGCTCGGAAGCGTGTGGTCGCCAAAGACTCTCACGGCATTCCACATTCGGGAGACCTAGTTCCCCTAATACAAGTACATCATTCAAAACCGAGACCTAACAACCTCTCCACGCACGGTCTGCACAGGTCCACTGACCAGACAGCCCGAGGCTTCAGGCACTTGAGAACGGGGTGCGATCCTGTGGCTGAATCCGAGTGACCCTACATGGCTCTGCCTCGCGCACAGCCGCCCATGTGGCGCCCCCACGCCTCGCGCGCGGCTGCAGGGCCCTCCTTACCCAGGAGCCAGGGCGCGCAGGAGCCACGCGGGCCGCTGTGCGCGGGGTCAAGCGCGCCGTCGGGCAGCGGGATGCAGTGGCGCACCATGGCCCCGTAGAGCCCGTACTCGGCCATCACGCTGCTGCCGCCCCAGCGCTTCTCCCGCTTCCGCCACTTGGCCCTCCGGTTTTGGAACCAGACCTGGTGGGAGGCAGGAGGGAACATAAGAGGAGGACACGGCGAAGAGGGCACTTCGAGGTGACCCTGAGCCCCCAGTCCTAAAAGGGCCAACTTCCCAGGGGAAGCGCCCAGGACGCAGACTTCCAGGGGCCGCACCCGCTGCGTGCTCAGAACTCACAGGCACCCATCGCTGTGGGGAAACGCGTTTCCGCGGGGGCTCCCAGAGGTCCAGGAATGACGAAAATAAAGGCACAGCACCTCCCCCAGTGTGTGAAGAGGTCCTGGACAACGGTAACCAACTCCCCTCACTGACCGGGAGGCGTTCACCTTGGCAAAGGCGCCTTCTAATCTCAGGTTGCTGGCTTGCTGGTGATCATGGAAAATACTATCTTAATACAGGAATAGCATTGGGTTCTTAAAAAGAGTGGGTTAGTCAACATGGATGGAGCTGGAGGGTGTTATGCTCAGTGAAATAAGCCAGGCAGAGAAAGACAAGTACCAAATGATTTCCCTCATCTGTGGAGTGTAAGAACAAAGGAAAACTGAAGGAACAAAACAGCAGCGGAATCACAGAACCCAGGCAGTGACTCTACAGCATCTTGCTACGCTGATGGACAGTGACTGTAATGGGGTTTGTGGGGGGGACTTGGTGAAGGGGGGAGCCTAGTAAACATAATGTTCCTCACGTAATTTTACATTAATGATACAGAAAAAAAGAGTGAGTTAGTGGCATAACTTCTGATCTGGAGAAATGTCCAAGAAGTGTTATCAAGAGAAGAAGCTAAGGAGGGTAACATGATCTCTATTTGTGAACACGAAAAACAAATTTCTATGTGAGTATGTGAGTACGTGCACACATTGTGTGTGTGTGTGTGTGTGTGTGTGTGTGTGTGTGTCAGGGCCAGATACATACGACATGGAGACAGTACACAGAAAGGTCACACCAGGCTATTTACATTGATTTCATTGAGGGTTTATAGTGGAGGGATAGTCGGGTTTTTTTCCTTTATTTTTTTTAATTTTTAAATTTTTTTTCTTTTTTGGTATCATTAATCTACAATTACATGAAGGACATTATGTTTACTAGGCTCTCCCCTTCACCAAGTCCCCCCACATACCCCTTCATAGTCACTGGAGGGATAGTCATTTTTTAATTACTGTACCTTTATGTAGTTTCCAATTGCAACACATGTTTGTGTAATTTTTAAAAATGATTTTATAAAAGGAAAAAAGGCACGAAGGTTACAGGGGATATGCTCTTGGAATAAAGATAAAGGCAGGCTCTAGCGCTGTGGTGCCTGCAGCTAAGTGCGCCTCGGTTTGCTTGTGAAGGGGAATGTGTTGGTCTGGTTAGGAGCGGCTGTGGGGTGACTCGCTGCATAGAGAATAACATGTTCTCTGTCTCTGGCAAGGAGAAAGGGGACCCCAGACACCTGAATTCGGTCTTCAGGGAGCTTGGTTTTCACGGCCAGCATTTCCCGGGTGTACACGTCGGGGTAGTGAGCTTCACCGAACGCCTTCTCCAGCTCCTCCAGCTGGTGGGCGGTGAAGACGGTCCTGCAGGGAGGCACGTGTCGCAGGAGGCTGCCAGGATGCCCAGCCTCGGGGGGCCCGCACCTGCCTCCCAGCTGCGCACCCCCAGAGAGCCACCTCCTCATACGGGACACTCCGCCCCTAAACGATCTGGAAAGTGCAGAAGTTTGGTTCTAACAAAACAGAGTTCTTCAGCTATTTTTCCTTCTCAATAAATCTCATCAACACATTCTAAGAAAACCCATATTAAAAACCAAAAAACTTGTGTCTTAAAAATGCTGTGCAAACTGTTCTGCAGCCTCCTGGGAATTACAGAGTCATGTCCCCCAGCAGCTGCTGTGCCCTTCCCACTGCCGACCGGGAGCCTCCGGGCCTGGTGTGAACCCAGGCCGCACATCGTCAGACTCTGTGTCTCAGAGAGGGGCCCGGTGCTCAGCCTGGCCCTGTACCTGTGCCTCCGCTTCTTCCCCTTGCTGGGGACAGGGGACGCCTTCGGATCCCTTCTGCCTTCAGGTGGGCTGTCCTCATCTGTTAGCACAGGAAAAGGAGAAGACTTTAAACATGAGCATATTACCTTTTTTTTTGTTTTTTAGTTGTTTTGAGGTGAGCCTACTTTTCACTCTATTTCCGGGGTTCTAATGTCAGGACTGAAGTTACAAACCTATTGGGGAAGTATTTACCAATTCAAGCCATCATTTTGCAACACTCACTATATGCCAGGCACAATACTTAGCACTGGCCATGCATTATCGAACTTATCCTTCTTAAAATAAAAGAACTCCAAGGTAGCTGCTATTGCTATGCTATTTTACAGACAGGAAACTGAGGCACAGAGAAATTAAGGAACTGGCCCAAGATCACACAGATGGTGAGGTTGAGATTCAAACACCAGACTGTGTGAAGCCAAAGCTACTTAAACACTTAATTGCATTTTGTAACCCTACTCAGCTCCCAAATTCATCCGCGTCCCGCTGCCTCGAGCTTCCCCATCTTAACCAAGAGGTGTGACATCAGAACCCTCGGCAGAGCTGCACTCCGTGCCGTGCTGTGCCAGTTCCGAATCTCTGGAAGCAGGGTCCAGGAGCCTCGTTCTGGACCAGTGAGCTCAGAGGGTCTGTAGACGCCCTTGAGAACACGGTGAGAACCTGCTCCACTATGCTCTATCTTTTGATATCCATTATGTCAAAAGATCCAGGTAGAAAGGAACGTTAGAAGACCAAACTACAGTCACGTTCATTGTTAAAAAGTGTATTTGCCTCAAAACACTAAAAAATGAATGAGTGAAGGCAAGAATAATAAAATATTCGTTTTACTCCTACATTAATTAGCTCACCAGAAAGTTATATGCTTGGATTATAGCATAATAATATCTGTGCTGTCCAGTCTGGTACCATTACACACGTAAAGTTACTAAACATGTGAAATGCGGCCAGTCGGAACTGAGGCCTGCTGTAAATGTAAAATATTTAGTGGGTCTAGAAGACTTAGCACTCCCAAAAGTAAAATATTAATAATTTTGTTGGTTACAGGTAAAAGGATACTTTGTATGTATTGGATTAAATACAGCATTTGAATTAATTTCCCTATTTATTTTTCCTCTTAAACGTGGCTTTGAGAAGTCTTCATCACACCCCCAGGCGCATGTGCCCCTATCGCATAGCGCAGCTCTCCGCCTTCCAGGAACAGCCTCCCACACTAAGGTCCGCGCTCACAGGGGAAAGAACCCCTCCTGTGCGGGTGGTTTCTGCATTTTTAGTGAAACAACGAATAGAGAGGCTGATGTTGTCTCACACGGAGACTCGTGAAGCAGACCGCTCCTGGAGGTGCCTGCTGGCCGGCCTGCCCCCTTTATCATCGGCGGAGACCCCGCGGACCCTCTGCGTCGGCTGCCTGCATGCCCAGCCCTCTCAGTTCCCGGCCGTCGTCCTTCACAGAATTCTGTCCACTGCCTCCTTCCCCGTCCCCATAATCCGCCCCAACTCTGTTGAGGAAATAGGGGGGGCGTGGAGCAAAACGCTGGGCGCAACCACAAGAGATCGGCGAGGCCCCGGGGTTCTCGCGCGTGGGGGGCCGAGGCCGCTGCGAGGGGCGCGCGCCGGACGCCCTTTCCGCGCCGCGTGGGGCGGACAGTTCAGGCCGCGCGGCCGCGCCCCTCCGGGACCCGCCAGTCCTTCTACCCCGCGAGCTCCTGGCAGCCCGAGGGGGCGCCGGGTTCCCGCTGCCGGACAAGGCGGGCCCAGGCCTTCCGACGACTCCGGGCCCGGAGGACGAGACTCGCGCCGGGGGCCGGGACAGCCCCGCGGGACACCGCCGCTGGGGGCCGAGGCCGCAGGCAGGGCCCGGGGCCGCGGGGCGGTGGTGTCCGAGCGCAGACCCCGGAGGAGGGGCGGGGATTCGGCGAGAAGCAAGGGGCAGGGGCGCGGGCGCCGGCAGACGCCTCCCACGACGGCGCCACCGTCTGGGGCCCGGGCTGCCTTGGACCTGGGATGCCGGGGACAGGGGCGCGGGCGGGGGCGGGAGCGGCAGGGGGCTGGTTACCGGACGCGGCGACGCTCTCGCTGCTCCCCCGGCTGCCGAGCGGGGACGGCGGGCGGGCGGGGGCTCGCGGGGCTGCGGGCTCGGGCCCCCCGGGCGGCAGGAAGGGTACGTCGGCTAGAAGCAGGCGCGGTGCCCGGCAGGCGGGTGGCTGCGCGCCGCAGCCGCAGAGAAGGCCGAGCCCCAGCGGGAGGGTCCCGCGGGCCAGGCAGGAGGCCCCGCGCCCGGGACCCCGGCGGGCGGCGGCCGCGGGACCCCCGCAGCCCGATCCCGGCCCGGGGCCAGCGGGCGCGGGCAGCTCGGCCTCCAGACCCAGCAGGTCGGTGATGGCGAAGCCCCGGGGGCGCGGGCCAGCGGGAGAGCCGCCGGGCACCGGCGGCCCGCTGTTGGCACGCCCGTCGCAGAGTGCGTCCCGGCCGGTCATGGCTCCCCGGTCGCCGAGGACTGACGGTGTCCAGCCACCTCTGCGGAGCGGACGCAGCTCCCGCCTGCTTTATACGCCTGGGCCGCCGGTCGGGCGCTCCCACCAGCCAGGCGCGGGCGTGTCATCGCTCTGCACCCCCCACCGGCCGCCGCCCTCCCAGCTGCAGCCCCTCAGTCGCCGCTCGCCCCCCTCCAGCTGTCCCCTGCCCACCCCAGCGCGTTCCTGGCGCGAGGACAGTGGGGGGTGGACGAGGGCTCTGCACGCGCGCTCTCAAGGCCGCAGGCGCAGCCCCCAGGGAGGGGGGGGATCCCCTGCCGCCCCAGGCGGGACCCCACTCACAGCGGCACTGAAGCCTCCCTCCCGCCGCCGGTTGCCCACTGACTTCGGCCCCATTCCAGCCACATTCCCAACACCACCACCGCTGTGACCACCCCTCACTGCACCTTGGGGGCCCACAGGCGTTCCCAGAGGCTCCCCACGGAGAATGGAGGGAAGACGTCTGTTTAACCCACGCGCGCTGCAAGTCCAACCAAACCCTCATCCCAGTGCCCACAAAGCCGGTCTGCGGGGGGTCACGGATCACCCAGGGGCAGGGGTTAGAGGTAGAGGTGGACGCGCAGCGGGAGGGAACAGGGCCGGATTCGGCCAAGACGAGCACCGGGGACGCAGCGCAGCCCCGATTGCAGATGAGGGCGAACACGTCTACTATTTCTTACAGAACCCTGAACGGGGGCGCGGCGAACCCCTGAACGGGAGCGGGGCGAACTGGAAAACAGGGCCTGCCGCCGGGGCGCACCCCTGCACCTTAGTTGGCAAAGAATCGTCAGACCCACCATTAAAGAAAGCCGGTCTTCGCGTGAAACTCCCCTATTTGTTAACATTGGCACCGACGCGCGCGGGTAAAGCCCTCCTGGCCCCCAGGCGCTGGGAGCCCGGGCCCGCCCTTCCCCAGCACGGCGCCCGGAGGCAGGATCTCTCGGCCACCCGAGGGCCGGCAGCCTTGAGGTCGCGCCAAGGAGGCGGCCACTCTCCCGGCGCTGGCGGGAGGCGGCGCGGAGGCCAGCCCGCCGGTGCCCTCGGCGCGCGTCCTCCGCTGAACACGCAGATTAAGGGAGGGGTTCCGGTGAAGGAACTGCGGAGGCCGCGCGTCAGCTGCCCATGATCAGAGGAAGAGTCCACGGTCCCCTGCAAGCTGCTCCTGGGGTTGGGAAAACAATGCCTTTCCTCCGGGGTAACTGTCCTTCGAATCGCTCCAGGGTCGAGGGTGGCCAGGAATTCTCCTCAAACGTCTGTCTGGTTTAGGGGAAGGCGTTAGGGGTGCAGGACGCAGCCAGGGTGCTCTGGCTCTCCGCCCGTCGGGGCAGTCCTGTGTATCTGGGGCCCCAGTTGAGGAAGACGCATAACGACCGACGCATTCTGCAGGCCGAGTCCGGGAAGGCAGCACGGCCGTCGGCCCTACAGTGGCCCGGCAGCGCTCACTCGCGACAGGAGGGTCTACGTGGCGGTTCGGACCCAGCGCCGCCGGCGTCCCTCCCCGGGCCAGGCACCTGGAGTCGGCCTGCCCTGGCCCCGGCCGCTGGGGGCAAGGGACCGAGAGGACAGGCCCCAAGGGGATGGTCAGGGCCCCGGAAGCGCCGAAGCGCCGGCTCACACGCGGGACTCGAGCCCAGCAAGTGCAGGGGAGCCCCGACTCCCACCGCCCCGCACGGTGACGGCCGCACGGCGCCCCGAGTACGCCGGCTCCAACCCTCCGGAATGTGCCTTCAAAAACCGATTCTGCAGGTGGGAGAAACAGGCGTCCTAACCAAGCCACGCCAGGAACCGGGAAGCGACGGAGAGAAAGGACGGGGACACCGGAGGGAGGCGCGGGGCTGGAGCCTACGGGGGCCGGGCCTCTCCAGGGCAGAGTGCCGCACACCCCTCCAGCCCCTCGGGGGGCCCGCAGGTCCGCGTGGGGGAGCCGACGGCACCCGGGCCTGGTGGAAGGTGGGCCCCCGCGGCCCCCTCGCCCCACAGACCGCTCTGCCGCGGAGACTGACCCTCTCCGGTCTTCCCCCGCCCCCAGGAGCCGTTTGGGGGCCCTAAATCCGGCGAGGGGTCTGGACCACCTCCATCAACCAGGATTACCTGGGATTAACTGACCAGGGAAGGGTTCTCCGCTCATTATTTCCCAAGGAAGTTTCCACCTCCCTTCCGAGGCCGACCCAAGCGCGCGCCCCTCTTCTCACCGAGCCTGGCAGAGCCTGGACCCACACGGGCGGCCCGAAGGAGCTGCCCGGCCAGGCTGGCGAGTGAAGTACAGACACAGCAGGAGTGGGTGGCGCGCGGATGAAGAGAACGTATCGCCATGAGTGTCTGCGCCACCAAGACCCTGGGCTCCTGTCCTCTTCTGATTTCCCCGTCTGGCTGTTCCTTCTGGGGCTGCTCTTGTGCCCCTTTAAATGTAGCCACGCTGCTGTACCCTGTCCGCATCTGCGCCCCAACATTCTGCCCCTGCCCCCCGCCTCGCCTCCAGCACTTGCCCACGGCCATCCTCACCTGGGGGCCCTGTTCTCAGGCCACTGCACCCACCAGTCAGAGGCGCCAAGTCAGAGTCTGCTGTTTCCCTGGACTTCTGCAAACCCTCAGAAGCCCTGGACCAAAGAGTGGCAGGGACTGGAGTGTCAATTCCACTCGGGTGTGTGGGGTGGGATCTTCCAGAGGTCCCCAGCAGGGGTGTGCCTGTAACTTGCTAATTATCACTTCCCGTGTGCTTTCTTCTGAGGTGCAGGAGTGCCCCACCCAGACACCGATCCTGGGCACTGGCACTTCCCCAGCTTCTGTGAATGTACCTGCTGACGTCCCACTACCGCCCTGCACCTGGAGAACTGCCCTCTGCTGGCCACACCTCCCACGCCCACACCCACAGACACGTCTCACCTACTGATGGGAGGCAGGATACAAGGCTGCCTCCAGCAGCAAGACTGCAAAGCCATTTCTGCTCCAAGTGGTTAGGCTGAGGCTCCCTGGACCTGCCAGCGTATCCCTGCCAGGCTCTTCCCCTTCCTCTCTGGCCTCCCTCACCCTGGAGGCCTCCACACCCCCCCAAGGAAGGCCCTGCACCCAGCTCTGCTCCTAGGGGCCTTCCCTGCCCCCTCCCCCGCTGATGCTGCTCTAAATCCTCCCAGCTGAAGGCCTTACCCTGGAGTGCCTGACGCAGTCTCCCTCTAGGGAGACCCAAGCACGCATCGTACTCCCCAGGCTCCCCTTAGGCACCATTCCAGCCCCCTCATATGGGACGCTATCGTGCAGTCACCACCTTTCGGCCAAGGACGCTAAAACCTGTCTCCAGCCTGGGACACATTCCTGAAGCCCAGGCCCACATCGTCCATGACGTCCCAGATGCCTGTCCTGGAAGCTCCTGGGAGCGCTGAACACAGGCCACCAGCACTGAAGGCAGCGCCTTCCCTCGAGTCTGCACGTCCCCCCGTCTTCCCCTCCAGCCCCAAACACCCCAGCGGCCCAAACAGAACCCTATTATCCTCAACTCCTCACTTTCCCTGCCAGGTCTCAGTGTAACTACCAGCCAGCTACTATGGCAAACACCTAATAAAAAGGACCACATTTCATCCTGACCCCAACTCATGGGTAAATAGAATACTGTTTACATCCTTCAGGTAAGGAAACAAAGATTTAGGGAGGCCAAATAATCACATGAATTACCCAAGGTCACCCCACTGCTGAGCGGCTGAGCCAGGAGTTGCACCCTAACACTGTGGGGCTAAAGTCTGACTCCCAGCCACTGGCCACCCTGCGCCCTTCTCAAATGCTCCCCGTCCTCTCCCCCTGCCCTGCCCTGCCCATCACCGCGCTGTGGGGCAGGCCAAGCTCTCGCTCCCCAGAGTGGAGTTTAGTTTTCAGTCTCGGGCTACTCAGTGCCTGAAGGAGACTTAAGGCATCTTACAGAGACGCCTATAGAACCCACAGGGCAGGTGCATTCCCCTGGCCCCCTGAAATTCAGTTATTTCCTGGGACCTCCACCCCAGGACAGAGAGAGAGGCGCTGATTCGTGGACAGCTGCCTCAGCACTGTCCCCGGCAGTGTCCCCGGCACTGCCCCTGGCACTGACTCTGGCTCTGTCCCCGGCACTGCCCCCAGCACTGCCCCCAGCATGCCTCTGCCTTGTTCACAGATGTCTGGTCTTCTCTTCACCAGCCTTCTGTGAGTCCAGGGGCCGTTCGTGAACTTCTTTGCTGTATAAATTGGCTGGATGTGGTTTCTGTGGTTTGCATCCAAGAACCCTGTCTTAGTGTCTGCTCCTGGTGTCTCTGCCCTCCATCTATAGGCCCCTGCCTACCCACCTCCAGTCAACCTTCATTGCATAGCCACAGTGACCCCTGTAAGGCACAGTCCTGTCGCTCTGGACGTCCAATTCCTCAACAGCGTCCCACTGCCACGGGACTGTGCTCCATCTCCTCCCTTGCCAGCGACTAAAGAAACAGTCACACTGCTTGTCACTCGTCCATGTACGACTGGGCTATTGGGAATCAACAATCCAGTCCTAATAAGACTGACCCAAAGGGGGCATTACGATTAGCATGTATTGTGGGGGGTGGGTGGTACGGGGAGGGCTGTGCAACACAGAGAAGACAAGTAGTGATTTTACAGCATCTTACTACACAGACGGACAGTGACTGTGAGGGGGTATGTAGGGGGGACTTGGTGAAGGGGGGAGCCTAGTAAACATAATGTTCTTCAGGTAATTGTAGATTAATGATACCAAAATTAAAAATTAAAAAAAAAATAGACTGACCCAAAGCTGTGGGAGGCACTGGATCTAGAACTACCAATGCTTCTGTCACCCCCAGAACAGAAGCAGCCTCCCCCCTTAATTCCCATCTGAAAACCCAGCAAACTGCAAGACCCAGTCCAACAGGAGAGAGCCTACCTGCCGGCCTGGCCCGGGAACCGCCTCAGGGAACGCCGCCTGGGGGCCGGGCAAGGAGCGCAGGCATGCTGCG